TTACTGACAAGATGCGCGTTAAATATCGCATGCGATTTATCGTGCAGCCCTAGTCTCGTCGCTCCGGCCGGACACGGTATGTGAGGGGCGTAACATTTCCGTCTCATGCTTGAGGTATTCGGCCAATCACAACGCATTGGATAGCTGGCCAATCAGAGCACACCTCGCTTTTCAGACCGATTAGTTTTGTAAAAATCGACGCGTTTCAAAAAGGCGGGGCATAGAGGAGAAACAATAATGTACAGTATGTGGAAAATAATGTGTTTTTTTAACTTTAAACAGCATAAACACATTTCATTACACCAAATACACAAAATAATGTTCTTTTTAGCAGCATCATATGACCCCTTTAATTATATTTCTACTCTAATTAGTTTTTTGAAACAAACATTTAAATAGTGGCTGTCATAAAAACTTGACGGATTTATTCAAACAAATTAAACATTGAAGAACAGTAAAAAAATTATAATAAATGTTATATAGAGCTTATATTTAGCAAAATGCTCTCTCTAGCATTCATTTTTCTAGCTGACTAACAAGTTTTTGGTCACCGAATATGTTTTTTCTGAGGTAAATGTGACGTTACGTGACACTGTTTATAAGCCGTTTTATTGACACCTTTCCGTGTTTGAAACACTGATTGGGCAATTACATGAGAATGGATGCGGATTTTGGTAAGCTGTACTCTTTCTTTTAACATACCTTAGGATGTTCATTCATGTTTATTTTGTGCTGTTAATAGTTAAAGCAGAGGAGATGATCAGTACACGTGTGTTTCGCGCTGCCGCTTCTCTTGAACTGAAGCGCTACAACGATCTGTCACTCCAGCACCAAAACAGCATTTATTGTTTGAATATTGTAATAAAACGGTAAGAATTTTTAATTTGAGACTTTGTTTCATATCAGAAGTAACAAAGTACAAATCTTTTTGCGAGTTTCTGGATGCAATGAGCGCTACAATGTTCCATTCATTAACTGAAAACAGGTCAGCCCTAGTTATAATTTTGTCAATATCGCACAATAAAATTCTTGGTGTCCGCTGCTAAAAACGACTAGTTCAAGCTAACATTTTTCCCCCCCATTGTGCTTGTGACTGCGATTTAGTCACAGTCTGACGCCCTGATAAATAACATGCTTCTTCGCAAATGCTCTTTTCATCTATATGGTTTCCTGTCATGGTTATATGTTTACATGTCTTCAATCCCCGCCCCTTGCTCTTACTATAGCTGAACTTTTTCGGTTCGCCTGCCTCCGATCCACAATGCAGGGCTGGACAAAATGATGCAAGATGCCTCTGAGCCAGGTCAACCTCGGAGACCAGCGTCGAGTGCAGCCGAGTTGTATATTCCGGTGAGCGCTGCTCATAAATAATGGAAGGAAAAAGCTCTGGCTGAAAATAACCGGCGCAGAAACTCTGCATTAATTGATGTTTGCTAAAAAATGACTGCAGAATGCAACGTATGTAAAGGCTGCCTGGGGCACAGTTTATTAATAAGCTGGACCCCCCTCTACAAGATAAACTGAGCCGCACTGAGTGAGACAGCTATATAAAAAGATATGAGCGCGCAATCAGAAAACCTGTGCGCGGCACAAATGTAAAGCACCGGCTCAGACATGAAACAAAGCCAGTGTTCTCGACTGAGGAAATATTCAGTCCCGTCTCATTCTTTTCTATCAACACACCAAGCCCATGTTGTCACATATTTCTGGCCTTGTAAAAAAGCAAAAACCCAACACAGGCAGCATCATGCTAAAGGCAGACTGCCTGCAAGATAACGCTGATGGAAAAAAGAGACTTGAGCAATATGTTTATTTTGGAAAGAAGCTTCTATGACAAAACTAATACATACTATGTTAACATTAAATCTTATGTGTGGTTGCTTGGTTGGTTTTGTTTGTTGCTCTTTCCAAAAGATAAAAAAACGCGCAACGAGCCATCAACACATACTCTGAAGAAATGATACGGTTTTCTGCTGACCGTTAAAGTTTAGAAAGATGAATCTGACTACAATAGGTTGAGATTTTCACACCTGTAATCCTTTTTCCTACAGAAATCGGTTTTCACAGCAGGGACTGCTTACTACATACTAAAACAATATTTATTTTTTTGTAACATGTATTTTAAAACAAACAAATCTCTTTGGTGAATGTGTATCTTTACGTACACATTAACATAACATTCAGTCAGAAAGCGAAGTGGATTAAAAGAACTGATTCATGAGATTAATGTTTGTGAATCATATAACCCTGAAGCAAATGCAGCAAAAGACCTTCTATATATTATCTTTGAATTATTTCAGTTTTTAATATCATCATACTCATCTGAAACCGCAAAATCTTGGGTAAAACGATTTCTATTTCCATGGCAGTGTAAATCAATGGTTCATCGGAACAGATTTGGAAAAATTTTAGCATTACATCACTTGCTTGCCAATGGATCCTCTGCAGTGAATGGGTGCCGTCAGAATGAGAGTCCAAACAGCTGATTAAAGTTATGCTGCGATCGTTTCCGCACGGAGTCTATAGGCCCGGGGATACTTCATTCTCCGCGTTCCGTTCCGTCTCGCGCACAGCCGCGTCCGCACAGCTTTCAAAGTATACTCAACCGCGGATGAGTGCGGACGAGCTCGACACAGGCGCAAGTCAATTTCTGCTGTGCGGCACGCGCTGAATTAAAGTGACAGCATATTATTTGCGGTAAAAATTAACATGGATTGAAACGGAAATTTTGTAATTACACCATAAAAGCATATAATTAAAGTCTACTGTTTCACAGTCAACACATGGCTTTTTGGCTAGATTTAAAACAAGGAAAAGTGCACTTTTAGATAAACAAGGCAATAATAGATGGCACTCGTGGTGGTAGTTAAACAAAGGTATATTTATTGCGTTTAAACGTGAATATGTCTATGAAAGATTGTATTACTGTACTGTGATAAAAGAGAATCACAATGCTGAAAAAGCATTTTCAGAAACAACGTTTGGATTTGAAATCAAAATACTGGATAAATGTTGTGTTTGTGGTAAACAGCCGCGGATCAGGAGCGGACTGCAAATGCGTCCTGTGCGAAAGCAAAATGAGTCCGTGCTGCTTCTGCACCGCATACACATACTGTATACGCACTGCAGACAGAGCACGTGTGAACTTGACGCGACAAATCTAGTTCAACATCTGAGGCAATACCACAAAGAGCTCTATGACCAATGCATGGCAAAAAGAAAATTCCTGGACACTGATTTTTTTTGCCATATGTCTATTCTAGAGACATTTTGTTACACCTTTACTTAGTGATTATTTTGCCTTATGTCTGTTCTAGAGACAGGTTACATCTTTTTGATAAAGCTCTAATTGGTTTTCTTTTGGAAATGTGTTTCAAATTCACACTGAATGCATTAATGACTGTAAAGCATGTCTGTGTGTGTCAAAATCGTGATTAAAATCGAAATCGCAATATTGATCAAAGAAATCGCGATAGGTTTTTTTTGTCCATATTGCACAGCCCTAATTAAAACATCACAATAATCCATGAGTAATTCACACGACTCCAGTGAAGCAAAAAGCTGTTTGTTTGTAATAAACAAATCTTTCATTTAGCTGTTTTTAACTTCAAATCACTGCTTTAAAAGACATTAACTAATGGACTGGGTTTGTGTGGATTACTTGTGATGCTCTCATTCTGACGGCACCCATTCACTGCAGAGGACTCACTGAACAAGTGATGTACTGCAAAATTTCTCTGAATCTATTCCGATGAAGAAATAAACTAATTTTGGATGGTCCAATGCTGAGTACATTTTCTTTTTTGTGTGAACAATTCCTTTCAAATTTTTTAAATAAGAGAAAAAAAGAGAACTCAATTCAACTTAAGATATTTCTTGTAATTCAACCCTTCAACAACTGTTTTTTTTCTCAGATGAACCAGGATTCCCACTGTTTTGAAAAACATCAATAAATGATAGGGATGTAACGATTCACTCAACTCACGATTCGATTCGATTCACGATTTTGATTTCACGATTCGATTCACGTTTTTTTTTGTTTGTTTTTTTTACAAAATGAGATTTAAGACAAATTATAAATTAA